GAACCAAGTATCAATGATACCCCGATACCAGTATCCAAGTATCAATGGTACCCAGAACCAAGTATCGAGAGACGGGAAACTTCAGCGTTTGACTTCTATATAAACCAGAACTTGGAGAGAGTTGCTTAACCTAAGAAACTCCAGAGTTTGACACTTGAACAGTGGAAGAAGTGGCTTATCCAAGCAACCTCTCAAAGCCTGACATTTGGCAAACACTTCCACTAAATTCACTAAATATATCGTAGATTGGATTGACCTATATACATTTATTTCTCTATCTATCTACCTATCTATTGTTCTATCGTTCGTCCTGCTTGGTCAGAAGGGAGGTCTTCATCCACTTCAGGGCGGTCGGGGGATGCGTGGGCGTCGGCGTTGCGTCTTTTTACATGTTTTGTTTTTTTTATTTATGCAAAAAAGAAAGGACGGAGAAGAGAAGAAGGGAGGAGTGAGTGATGGTGGGGAAGCGGATTTCCAAACGCGACCCCCCACACTCACTACCTACCCAAGTTCTTTTTCTCCATTCTATTTTGATTTATATATATATATAGAACATATGGTTGGAGTAGGTTCATTTTTTTCAGTCAGGGTGGCACTGTATCGGGGAGCATCGGTGGCAAAGAGACCCCACAAGCAAACCCATACGGTGTCATTCTGACTGTTTATATGGTTATATAGTATCTAGTTGGCTCAAGTGTGGCAGGAACAGTAAATTCTAAAGTGCTGGATTTCGTAGAAAGTGGCGGGAACAGGGATTAATGAGTGAAGATTTCGTAGACAACGAGGAATTCAAGTGAAGATTTCGTGAAGTGTTATGCCCAATCCCTCGCTTATCAACAGAACACCTTAAAATACTTAAAGAAAAGGCGCCTAATGGAATTAAGGTAGAAAAATGCACTGTTATTTGTATATTGACGGAAAAAAACAAGAAATGGATGAAGACATCTTTGACCAAATGGTTGAAGCACTCAATCAACCGAGCACACCAAAAAACACTCCCACAGCAAACACTCGTTGGAGACCCGACGGAACTTACGACAAGAGACCATTAGATGAAGATTACTTCAAAACCTACTATCAAAAGACACTGAACATTCCGTTCAAGTGTCCCGACTGCGGACGCACCATTTCGTCAAAATCCAATTTGTCAAAACACCGCCAAACCAACGTGTGTATGAGCAACCGTCGCCATTGATGAAGCGTTGAGGTTCAACCCAAGTCCCCAAAACTTGAACCCCAGACCCCAGCCCAAAACTACTTGAAGACTTGCCACCCTACAGAGGATATTAGGTTGAACATTGAAACAGAGCGGTTAATGATGAAGTCCAACACCACCAACACAACCCTCAACCGTCAAAAGACACACCAACCATACCTCAAATCCTACTTAAAGAAACATCGCATAATAATGATATGGACCTTACTATTATGACAAGTCGTTCAGAGCAGATTGTATTCGATAGCCCACTGACATCCAAAAAGGGGGAAGTCCTCAAAGAGAACCGAAGAGAACTAAAGAAACTCAAGATAGGGGACAAGACCTACAACTATGACAAGACAAAACCACTCACCGACAGACTGAAACGAAAACTCACAACTGTTAAACAAGAACTATGTGAATTCATATTCCGTCAGTAATATCAAAGTCAAGGGCATTAAAGCCCTTCAGTATCTCAAATACCAAGACCAAAGACTGAAGGAATACCTGAACAAACATAAGGGAATGAACATTATTTTGGAAGCATACGGGACATTCAAAAGCAAGAATACCAACGAAGATATTAGGCATACAATAAGGAGTAGAAGATATGAAATCACCAACGCAGAGGAGATAATGAGTGTCCTTTCTCAAATAGCAACCGACATAGAGTTTCAAACGGACAGAATGGAGCTAAGTGAGAGCGGATTAGTAATCAGTCAGTTTGAAAAATTAAGGTTTCACTACGACAAGTTCAATCCAACTCGGGGAGGTTCATTCCTTCCATTACCTAAATGGGTTCAGAGCAAGAAAGCCTGTATCAACATCCAAAACGAAGACAATATTCTGTTCAGTGCGGTGTTCATAAGATATACGAAGAAGACCACCCGAACGGAATGTATCACTACAAGAAGATAGAAGACACCCTGAACTGGGATAATGTTTGAACAACACAACGAAGGTAAGGTGTCAGTCAATGTCTATTTCATTGACCCCGACGAAGGCAAATCCATACTGCTGTATAGAAAGTCCAAGGTTCTAAAATCCACTCATCACATACTGGAGGATGGAGACAACTATCACTATGTCTTCATCAAGGATTTCAACAAGTTGATGTAGAAACAAATCCAAAGTAAGCACAAAGCAAAGAAATGGATATTTCGTCATTGCCACCGACCCTTTGAAGAAGAATACCTGTTAGACCAACACAACGATAATGGGTGTATGTCGGTTGAAGGTCAAAAAGTAGTGATGCCAAAGTTTGACCCTACAAAGCCTGACAAGTTCTTCATTAGGTTCAAAAATCACTATAAGAAACTGAAAGCGCCGTTCGTGATATATGCGGATTTTGAATGTTTGACTACAAGAACTGGAACGGTGAGCACCAAAGAAATTAAAACTGACAAATACCAACATCATAGACCCTGCGGTTTTATGATACATGTTGTCAATTCAATTGATGGTTCATCAGAGCCTTTCCTTTACAGAGGTGAGGATTGTATGGATGTGTTCGTGAATACAATGATTGAGGTAAAGGATAACATATTGGAGAAGACGAAAGAAAACAAACCAATAATATTTAATAGAAACAACGCGAGGGATTTTCAATTGGCAACTCACTGCTTTGTTTGTGGTAATCCCTTCTTGGCAGGAGATGTTAAGTGTAGAGACCATTGCCACTTCACGGGTATGTATAGGGGATGCGCCCATCAAGATTGTAATTTACAATTCGCGATGAGATACTACTATATCCCCGTCCTCCTACATAACCTGAAGAACTACGACAGTCATTTAATCATTGAGAGGGCTAATGAACTGTCAGAGAGAGCGAGGATAGATGTAATAGAGCAGAACAGTGAAAAGTTCATAACCTTCGCTTTTAAGAATATGTGCTTCAAAGACAGTTTTTCTTTCTTGTCGTCTTCGTTGGATAAGTTAGTAAAGTTGAGCAAGTATGAAGACGGACAGAAGAAAAACCACTGGCAAGACAAGTTCAAATTCAGTAGGCGAAACCTCTATGTCAGCAATAACGAGGATTTGGACTTACTCACCGACAAAGGGGTTTATCCAAACGATTACTTCACTTCCTTTGACAAGTTTCGAGACAGACAACTTCCACCAAAGGAAGCCTTCTACAGCAATCTCACCAAAGAACATATATCGGATGAAGACTACGAAAGAGCAAAGAAAATTTGGGAACACTTCGGTATCCGATGTTCTTTTGCTCACCGATGTCTTTGAGCATTTTAGAGACCTTTGTTTAGAATACTATGGTTTAGGCCCTGCGCACTACTTCACCCTTCCTAACTTTGCTTGGGATGCTTCTTAAAACCGGAGTGGAGTTAGAACCATTGACCGACCAAGAGATTTATATATGAGATGATTGAGAGTGGACTTCGTGGTAGTATGTGCCAAGTCAGTCATAAGGAAGCAAAGGCAAACAACAGGTATATGGGTGAAGACTTTGATGAAACAAAGGCATCAAACTTCATCAACTATTTATTTAGACGCTAATAACCTGTATGGACTGGCAATGTCAATGAAACTACCGATAGGAAAACTCAAGTGGATAAAGAAGATGCTGACTGAAAAGAACATAATGGACTGGAACGAGAACGATGACAACGCCTACATACTGGAAGTGGGTTTAGAGTATCCAAAGGAACTACATAACGAACATTCTGATTATCCATTAGAGCCCGAAAGTATGAGTGCGAAAGAGGAGTTCCTTTCAGAGCATCAGAGGACACTACACAAACACTAATTACTATTACTACAATGGCAAGGATGCCACGGATAAGAAGCAACCGAAACTTATACTGAACGTTATGGACAAAGAGAAGTATGTAGTCCATATCAAGGCTTTACAGTATTACCTGAACAAGGGGATGAAACTGAAACAGATACGTAGAGCGGTCAAGTTCAAACAAAGGTCGTGGTTGAAGCCTTTAACAGATTTTAACACTGGAAAGCGAAAAGAGGCAAAGAATGATTTTGAGAAGGATATGTTCAAATTGATGAACAACGCCGTTTATGGCAAAACGATGGAGAATGTGAGAAATCACATAGACTTTGAATTAGTATCAACGCAGGAACGAATGCAAAAGTGTATCAACAGCTCTAACTACAAGAACAGTCATTTCATCAACGATCCGATGAACTGGTAGGAGAGGCAAAGATAAAAAGCGAACTGTTGCTGAGTAAGCCTATTTACTTGGGAATGGCAAGTTTAGACCTTTCAAAGGTTCATATGTATTCCTTCTACTACGATGTCCTCAAAGCGAAGTATCAGGAGAACATCAGACTAATCTACACGGACACCGACAGTATTGTCCTACAGACTGTCACTGAAGACATCTACGAAGACTGGAAAGAAATAAAATAGTATATGGACTTCAGTGGTTATGATAAGAGCCATTTGTGCTATGACCCTACCAATAAAAAAGTCCTTGGCAAATTCAATTATGAGATGGATGGAAACGTCATCACAAACTTTATCGCGTTGAGACCGGAAATATATTGTCTCAAAGTCTTCAATGAAAAGAAGGTGGAGAAGAACGCGAAAGGTGTTCCAAAGAATTCCGTGAAGAAAGATTTAGATATGAAAGACTACGAAAACACACTACACAAACACAAGCCGAAGAATGTGAATTTCAATGCGATTAGGAGCAAGAACCATCAAATCTATTCAATCAATCAAAGTAAAGTTGGACTGACAAGTTATGACAACAAAAGGTATTGGGTCAATGATACTGAAAGTGTGCCCTATGGGCATTACTCAATAACATCATAAAAAATACTCTTCATAGGGGTATATATATATTTTTTCTTTTTTTGTCAGGGTCTTTTATCATAAAACTATAACAACGAATACGAACACAACTTCACAGCAGGTAGTTTATACATAATCCTATCGGATTTTCTTTTTTCCATCTCTTCAATTTTCTTCACGAGTTGTTTGATTGCTTTCGTCTGAAGGGTGTCAATCTTGTTTAAGTCCAATTCATGTTCATCTACGGTTTTGATTTGTTCTATGTAGTCGGTCTCACTAGGTTTTGTTGATGAACTTCCCATTATTATATACTAACTTATATTTTTAATCTTTACTTTTTGCTTTTGCTCGCGTCCTTCTTTCAGTATCATTTAAACAGTATCATTTATACTCAATGCTACACCACTTGCTGTTATGTCCGTTCTCCTATCCATTGTTATTCTGTCATCAGTTGTTAAAGTGATGTAGGTATTGCCGTTTCTTTGTAGTATTGACATACTGGTATTGTTTGCTGTATTCAATATATCTGAATTCAAACCACCCGAAAAGGCAATACCAGAAACAATCTTCAAAACAGAATTAGCGTGGTCATATCTCATATATTCAACTTGAGGGCTCACTCCATCGGAATGAGCACCATAATAAACTGTATCGGTTGCCAATGACCTATTCCTAATATTGTTTGCATACACATTTGAAGTTGATACTCCTAGCAATGGCTTCCAACCCAGAAGCGATTGCCTTCAACCTAATAGCAAAGGCCTCCAACCTAATAGCGATGGCCTCCAACCCAGAAGCGATGGCCTCCAACCTAATAGCAATGGCCTCCAACCGATAGAAAGGGTGAACGGGCCACAAGCGATGGCCTCCAACCTATAGAAAGCGTGCATGGATAAGAAAGGTGAACGGGCCCTTATGGCCCTCATCGAGTCTGAAGTCGCTTTGCAAGGCTAGAGATGCGATTGGCAAAGGGCGAGATCCCTCCAATGGAAGCCGCCCTTTTGATTGGAGCCAGGGAAACTCAGGGATCAGGTCTTTTCCGCAGCATGATGCAGTACTGAGAGGTTAGACTATGACTATTTATATCTCTTTATCACATGTTCAGCAACCGCAACAACATTGTCTTTCTGGGCCACCTAGTTTTCGAGCCACCTGCACATAAATCTAAATCGAGACAGGCCATGGTCTGAATCATTTCTCGAGTGTCAAGGTCGTGATGCCTGCGGCTTTGGTGGGATTTTTGTGTGCCACAGCCTCAGAGATGGGAACCTTTTAAAGAGTTTAAACATGAAAAGGTCCCCAAAGCCCTCAGAAGCTCTCCAAATGTGTGCTGCCAGGTCTTAGAGCACACTGAATGGCGATATGTGCGCACGGTCTTCCCGACCTCCGAGCCGTTTGGAGCTGAGTCTGGCCCGACGGCGGGTCGTCCTTCCGTTTGTTCTAGTAGCGTCCGATCGCTCCGTTTGTAGCGATGCCAGCAACTCTGAGGTATACCCCGCTCCTTCACGAGCTCCTGCCTAGGCTTCGAAGACTTTGCCGCCTGTGAGTGTGGCACCTGTACAAAGAACCCAGCGGCCCCTTCCCAGATTTCCACCATTTGGCACTGCGCAAATAGCATGTTTGTTCAACCACAACTCCGATCCAAAATCTGGGTTGGATTTGCCAGGAGCTCAGCAGAAAAGTGTTGCTTGCAGAAGCTCTTCGCAGTTGAGAGTTGAAACTATATAGGCTTTTTGGTAGGTGTGATCCTACATCCTTTCACCCAGAAAATCATGGTTCCGCTGAACCTACGCCGCAACAACAACCACCGGACTCCTTTCTGCGGTGGGTTTTGACTCGTCCAGGAAGCTTCATGGGCTGAGAACAAGCAGGCTGCCAATGGCAAGGTGGAGGGACTCCCCCTTTGGGATTGACAGCTTTTACATTCTGACTGACTGACATTCCATGGAAGTGGAGTCCCGGAAGGAAGACGGCTTTCCTTTACAAACCGGGGGTCTCAGCCGCTTCCATGTTGGTGAGTCAGAGTGTGCTCGATGTGAGACAGAAGAGATTGGTTTCGTGGAATACCTGTTTCTAGACTCTAGACGGTCTGCCATGGCCCCGAATGGCTGGAACGAGCCGCAGAAGGGTGAAAAGGGATTGTCAAGAAGGACACATGATGCTTGCAAATACAACTAGTGTCTCCACCAGAGCTCGAACAACAATCGACTCTGCTGCAACATCCTTCAGCTAGGTTGCCAGGTGCCCAAGCTTGAATATCCATAACTGACCACATGCATGATCAAGTGTTACATTTCGGCCCACTCCGCAGGTCCGCCGTCGAAGTGAGGCGAATTGCCGGGTCGGCGAACCGCGCGAACCGCGCGAACCGGTTCGAGTCCCTCAGCGGTCGGGTCGTTGCGGTCGGATGGTTCCTTTGAATCGTGGACGGTTCTCATCTCATTGGTTTCGTTTATTTCATTAATCTAGGGGTCCTGTGAGTTCATGAACTAATTGTTTCAGAATACTTTTCTGGGAAAATAAACTTAGGCAGGGGTAGGTCAAGGGACCCTTGGAATAATTTTCAAGAAAACCTATATGGATGCTAGGTTGGAGGCCATCGCTAGTAGGTTGGAGGCCATCGCTACTAATCTATAATCCACTAAATAGTCTTTAAACAAGTGTAACAAATACTCATGCGCAGGCAGTCCTGCTTTCCAGGATCACTAAGGAACACTAAGGATTTTTGCGCCGATGACATGCGGCCTTGAGGAGGGTTCTGTGGCAATATCCATTAATTATTCCAGCAACTAAAGCACCCCAGGAATAATTTCAGGAAACGATGTGCAGGGTAGTCAGATTTATTTTTAAAACATATTATTCCTGAGGGGTTTGAGAGGGGGGATTACTAAATGATCCTACATGTGAAAAAGCTGGACAGGTCTGGAAGTGTTTTCTTTTGAAACGACTCTGACTCTCAGAAGACCCATTGAGGCCTCCATGGTTCCAGTCTTGGTATTTTTTGTGACACGTCTTCTGCGTTTGGAGGCCTTGGCAGCGGCCGCCTGTGGGATCATTGGAACTCCAGAAGGCATCCTACCATGGGAGGGTTTCATACGGCTTTCCTTTATGCACATGTCACATGTCATGTCTACCTAAGAAGTCTTTATCTTCAGATTACCAGGCCTGATGATGGCTTAGAACTGTTGCATGCAGGCACTTACAGCATTTCTCCCACACACACCCGCCCCTCGTCCTGTGAAACGGTTCTTCTAGATCCGGATCCAGATCCTGGTCTTCCCCTCAGCCGCGCCACTCAGCGGCTTTCCGGTTCAGCCACGGTTCAGCCGTGAAAGCCGAGGTCGTCGTTAGCGTCCCGAAGAACCACGTCTGACCACAACGAGAAAAACACAGACCGGCAGAGGAGCGGCTCTCAGTAAGTCCTCACAGAGTGATGACCGTCTTTCGAAACGTATCAGTACGGAGAGAGAATTTTTGGAGAACCAGCTCTGGTGTAGGGAGGTCCGGGAGGTCCTGTCTGAAAAAGCACAGCTGAAACCGCTGAGGTGCATTAAGAATTCCGTCTGCTGGCGATCTGAATGGGCGCCTTCTCAGGTCTTGTTTTCCACGACATTTGAAGTGAGAATAGCTCACGTAGCCATTTGCTATATGTATGCTATATATACTGTAATCTGAATCAAGTTGTGAAAGGCCGCTCAGGAAGGTCTTGCTGGTCTGTAATAGTGCAGCTTTCACCCCTTGTCGCATCCTGAAAGTCATTGGACTGCGCAGGGCTTGACATTTCAAGAAAAAGACTATCGGGTAGCATAGTAGCTGCTATGTAGTTTCATCAATGATGAGGTGGCGGACCGAGTGGGTGGCGATCTATGTATCTTAGTGGCTTTGATGTGGGTTTGTCCTTGAAATAAAGGTTGCTTCAATTGGGCAAAAGGCTCCTAAGATGACACTCTTCGTTGTTCCCATTGAGGATTTGTAAGCACAGGCACTTTCGCATCTTTCGCAATGCTTACGCACCTCAGGTTTTTGCTTAACGCGATGCCAAGGTATCATGTTTGGAGCTTACGCGGGCTTACGCGGGCTTACGCACAAGAAACACTTCAGCCACACCACAGCAGCAGCTTATGTGCAGGTCGTTTAAGGCTTTTGCAAACTTACATCTATAAACACGATTTCCGACTTTGCTTACGCAGCATGTGCTTTCGAACAATTGCTCACGCGAGCTTACGCGACCCAGTGAGCAAGGCTTACGCGAGGCAGCCTTATGACACAACCTTTTTCACCTCATGACTACAGAGGCTTTGACCCTGGTGCCCTTGCAGTCATACAGGGCACGTGGCATTTTCCTGCCTTGTTGATCTGATGGCGGTGGCAATTGGAGCATTGGCTTGACAAGACCCGTGATAGAGTAATACAAGACCACAGAGACAAATACTACAAGATATCAAAAGAAGTCAATAATACGGTACATGAATAATCTGTTTACGTTTGTTGATTGGAAGCATCAGATTGCCAAAATTAAGCCGACCACATGCATCTGCAAACTTAGACAAGTGGATTCAAGTATCGGACGATGCGAAACACAAAGGAAGCCTGTTGTATTGTGGTCTGGGGCTTTTACTCCATCAAAGGAAGTGCCACTAGAGACGTTTGTCGGTTTTTGTTGTAAAATCCCTTCAGAAGGCCACATCAAATCCCATAAGCACCAACTCGGCCAAGCAATCTAGCAGTTCAACCCAACACCATCCAACTGGCCGAGTTAGCTTGATTCGGTTCTCGGTGTGTCCATGCTCCGCCGCTCCCTGCTGCGAGCGCTGGGGCCCGCAGCTGCAAGCGTAGTGAGTTTGATGGACCGCCGAGGCTGCCGTCCTGCGTTTGTTCGAGGTGTGAGGAGCTCTTGAGAAACACCAGTAGTCCTTGAGGGACCAGACGCCAGACGCAAGGTCCGCAAGTTCCAGACCGGTTGGCATTTTTCCAACTGGAGGTTTTGAGAGCCAGAACCGATTCAAAGGTGAGTCCAGCACCCTCAACAACAGGACAGAGATTCTTGAACGCATCTCTTTCCTGGACCCATTTTTCAAGCCGTGCCTCCACATACTGAACTCAGAGTGAGTAAGGTTCTTGGTTGGCTTGAAACTCAATGAGACAAGCTGTTATCCGCGAGGCAATTCCACTGCTGGCTACTGCCATGCGAGCCCTGTGCCGGTGGTGTCTTCCAAGGTCGCCACTTTCAAGCATCAGTGTCCTTCTGTTGCTGCACATCTTGAAGAACGTGGAGAGAGTTTTTTTCCTGATTGAGGAAGATTAAGAAGGTGTGCAGAGGGATTTGACAAATATATCGTTTGTTGATGTCTGTTGACCAGCACTGCAGAGCTAAGGCTTTGACGGAGACTCACATTTTCCCGACTTGTGAAAAGCCATCGCTTCTTGTCTGAACATTCAGAATCTTGAGGGTGACTTGAGACCAATTCAACCAGAGGGCAACATTCCAATGCGTTGACTGTTAAAGGAGAAGCCTCAACTGGCTCACAAGATCTCACAAGACTTGGTTGGCGCATTGTGAACAAACATGTGAGGGATGCACCAAATCGATGTTTCTTGAAACCTGTTAGAGATGCTCATGGGAGATCACCACAGAAACCTCCTTAAAGGGGATGGCTAAAGGGACCGGTACTGACCCCAGCCATAGGTTTTGTAGCAGAAAACCACCACATGTGGCTCCTCTCGAGGGGAAGGACTCGCACTGCGTTTACACTGCGCAGCTTGCGCAAGCTGCGTCGTTCACGCATGGTGCTGAAAAGAATTTTCGATACCAGAGCCTATGGAGTGAATCTTCAAGACGCGTATGATGAACTGCATTGAGCTGCTGTGCCACACTTGAACATTTGTGTATCATGAAGTCACTTTTGTTGTTGTTGTTGTTGTTGTGAGATAGGGCAAGCAACATCTGAAGAAATGCGATGAAGCATCTAAGGTTTGAGGAATTCACATCTTTTGAGACCTACATCTTTGATTGCGATGGTGTCATTTGGGGTATTTGCGAGGAAGACACAAAGACCTCTGTGGCCACCGTGAATTATTTGCTCCGCCTCAACAAGAGAGTGATGTTTGTTACAAACAACTCCAACAAGACCAGAGCGCAGTTTGTGCAACAGATCTGAGCTTAGACTTCTATTCTGCTTTCAGAATATTTGTCAGATGGCAAAAAGAAGAACGCTTCGTTTCTTGACACTCCTGAAGTTTGATTTGTTGTTTTCTCGCCTTTATGAGGTTGGAAAGCAAAGGCGTGAACTTCGGGAACAGAAGTCAGGAGCAGAAGCTGAGCATGATGATCAGTCAAAGCCTTGGCTTTTCACGATGCGGCGCGAACTTCAGAATTCGTTTTTGGACCCAGAATACATGTCACAGATGTCACCGTGACATACCTTGCACCTGAAAAACATAAACACTTCGATCAGGTGCAGGGCACTCCGTGACTGTGACCCGTGCCTTACATCCGATCAGGTGCCTCTTACACCACGGCAGCTTTCCTTCAAGATTCGGGACTCCATCGACCCTTCATCATCACCTCTGACACCGGAGTGTCACTGAGATATTGAAAGGTGGAGTGGAACACTTTGTTTCGTATGTGTTGGTGGAATTTGGGGCGTTTGCCGAAGACGAAGAGAAGACGGTCCCTTTGGTCGGTCATGGTGATGAAGCGAAGGTCCCTTTGCTGGTGGGTAGACTTCCATTGCCAAGTCCCAACCATATATAGATATGCCATGCTGCTATGCCATTTGATTTTCGAGATGTTCCCTCAACCGTCTTAAACCGAGTCGCGTTATAATTTGGCGGGTTCTAGTTCTATTATATAATTTTTTGGAAACTTCGAGGTAGTTGCACAGTCAAATTATTTACTGGCAAGTGTCGAGTACATATGGGAAGGAGTAGGGAAGAGGGTGGTCATCAGATCTTCGCAAGAGTTAGCTTTATTTTGAAATAAATAGACATGTGTAGCATGAATGCAAAGCATAGATGAATCAAACTATCACCATGATCACTCACCAATTTCCGCAACCTTGGGTTACACCACAAGTTTGAGGGTGCCTAAACTTATCGGTTTCTTCTAGTCTCGCTGAATGTACATAGATAGTCAAGGTCGATCTGAATCTGGACAGATTCAGTGTCATTTGGTCCTCGAACGACCCCCCTTCGTACCAGCAAGCTGGCCAAGGTGCCACCATGCCTCCAAAAGATTTGATGTTGGGTTCCAAGAAAATGGCCGCCCCAATAGCTTTCAACCAAGCAAGACCTGTGCAAGCCATGGGGAAGGATGCGAGGTTTACCTCCATCCGGCAAGCAACACACTGAAAATTTGAAGTTGCCGGTGAATAGCAGCATCTGCCAACCAGCAAGTTTGCTGAGACGAACCCACAAGCCAAGTGATCCAAAGCTGCTAATAGTCAGCGAAAGCGAACAGGGAAGCTGCGAAGACAATCGCGGCCGCCCAGGACCTTTTCACATTTTTTCCATGCTTTGTTATGCTTCCTAGTGCCAGCTATGGTAGATGTTTGGCGGCTTAGAACTGTCGTGAAACAAGCACAGCTGAAACAAGCATAGAACTTATAAAAACTCTTGCAAAAGACTTCGTCTCAGTAAAGTTACTGCCATATATGGCTGCAACACGGTATCTTGTTCAGGACACCTTGAACATACCAGGGTCAACATATGGGGTAGGTCAAGGGTTGGAGTGATAGCTAGATAGATACACTTGGTGCACTCAGGCTGGAAGAATGTCGAATGCTTGGCATTACCGATTACTTTGCGACAATCACTGATGACGGTAAGCCAGGTGCGACCCAATGGTGCGACCCGAGCGTGAGATCTATGAATTATGGCCATTCATTTCTCTAACAATGTAACAGACTTCTGTTCAATGCATATAATTTAATGTATGCCATATGTACAGGTGCACCCTGAGAGTCAAAGACTAACTAAAGGATGGGTCTTCCGGGTACCTGAAAGGGAACTTCCTTTACTTCAATGGGGCAGAGTATTTCGACTTCTAGGGCGCATCGCAGCCGTGCACTAAGTAAGTGCACGCCTCCGTGTTTTGCCAGCACCTCTCTTCCAAAAGCTGGACATGGGCTCTGCAGCAGATGTCATCAAGCAAAATCCCAACGTGGACTCCATTGTGGTGGGCTGGGACATGCAGCTCACCGCACTGAAAGTCGCAACGTGGCTGCAAAACAAAAGCAGTGGAAACGGTGGGATAGAGACCCTTCTGCTGCGGCTTCTGGTTTGCCAATGACGTTGTCTGATTTTTCGGGTGCTTGGGCCGCTCACGGGCGTGGGGAACCAGAACAGTACTCCAAGTCTTTTGCACTGAGCTGCGAGACGTGGCCATCGTTACGAAGGACTACATATCGTTGCGCAAGGACTACAGATCTTGGGCTGATTGAATCGTATGTTGAAGTGCTCATTTCCCTTCCTGACATCGCCTCCACCGATCATCATTCATGTATTGGTGTCAGTGCATTAGAATGTGAGCGCGCTTTGAGCTAGCCTGCTTGAAGGTTCCAGCTGAGTTGTGTTTGTGAACGAAGTGAGTTTGGCGCTGGATTCAGCTCTGCAAGCAATAGTGAGTATTTATGATGCACAGAAATCATGAATCCTTGGTATCATTTGCATGCGGCGTAGGTTTTGTCTCATCAAGCACACATCTACTTTAGTCTTTCGGATTTTGTGCTCCAGCTTCACTTTTGTGGAAAGTGTCGACAGTTTGTGTGCACCCGTTTCTTGTAAACACAGGTATGATGGGGCGTTATATATATATGCAAAAGATTTGCGCCAGAAGTATGAATCACCAACCACTCCCTTGGAATCTCAGGGCACAGCTGTGAACTACATCAAATGGCATGAAGATTTGCACGCGAGCGAGCCAGGATACAAGGAGCAAAGCTCGGCTAGCCCTCCAAAACCATGCATCCCCGTTGCTGGAATTGAGTTCTGCTTGAGTGGTGAGAGCCGCACTGTTCTTTTTTCACCTTCGTTGCAGGAGATGCCCTTGATCGCTTGCTCCGGTGACACCGGTGGCGTGCTTGGGAAGACCACACACCTTGGCAAAGAGTTGAAGCTCCGTGCGATTGGTGGCTTGGGCAGGACGGAAGCCTTTTGACACAAGAGATAAAAATGACACAACTGGAGATAGATGTCCGAATTTTCATTACTGTGTCCTTGCCCGCCTCCAGAATTCTTGCGGTTCTTTATCCCGAGACATAAACAAACCGAGTCTGGTTGAGTTGGCTCTGCACAAAGCACAGGTCTGGATTTCACAGGGCCAGCTGGTTAATGGTGTCATTTGGTTCTTCCCTGTTGAGGTACCAAAAATAGATGAGAGATGACCAGCGGCCAGTGACCGACCTGGATACCTGAGGCAATGGTGCGATGGCGGACATCATCGCTCGCAGCTTTGACCCTCCGAAGGTCTGGGTGGACATGGGGAAGCCCTCAGATGCCTGACATGATCGGAGCCGGTGGGGCCGGGTGGGGGGTTCCGGTCGATTGCTCTTGACATTTTGTGACCCGTGTTGTTGGAAGAAATTCCGGATCAGCATCCAGCAGAAGGAGATTTCTGAATGAACAGGGCTCGCTTTCACGGGTTTCAATCTTTCACGATTTTGCCATAAGCGTTCGTGCCATGGTTCAAAGGTGTTTGTGCGATGGAATCCCACGGAGAATCTTGTATACTGACTGACTTGGGGGGGTCCAGAGGGTTTTTTATTGGGAATTAGGATTGATTGGAATTGATTAGGTTTCACATGCTTGATTCCAGCTGCTTCCTTTGCCATAGCGGCCGGTGTCCAATGGGTGAAGCGGTCGGTCGTTCGGTGTCCAAGTCTTTCAGCCCCGAGGATGCCTTGCTTTTGCTCCTGCGAAGCCCTCACGCCTACAACGTGGATCTGAACAAGGCATTGATGGTGTCTCAGTGCCAAGGATCATACTTTCTTGCCAAGGTTCCATAGGTCAGCCAAAGCATGCCAAGGTTCCATGATTTTGTGACTCAGGGCGAACACCAGGCACATTGCAATTCGTACATTTAGTGATCATTCGTGTCCGAGCACGACACCCCTGCACGACACGATCGACCTCGGCCTCCTCGCCCGACAGAGAATGGTTCGCTCAGGTAGGCGACACTTTGCAGACTGACATCGTCTTTGGAAACAGAGGAGGATTCCTATCAGCATCCAATCTGTGGGGTTTCTGGAAGTCTGCAATTTTGCTAGTAGGTTGGAGGCCATCGCTATTAGGTTGGAGGCCATCACTACGAGGTTGGCGCCATTAGGTTGGAGGGTTTTTCTTCATGTTTTGTGCGCGGGTCTTCTCTTCAGACGGGTTCCAAGCTTTCGCATGGCCGCACCAAGCTTTTGGATGGGGTCGATGTCAGATGTTTGTCATGCTGTTCGTTCTGTAAAATTCGTGCCCAGCTCGGTTCGTACCAGGGATGAAAACCCTTTTGGTGCTCACGGGCGTGACGAGCCAACTGGAGCTTGATGAAGAGCTGCGAGCCAATGGCCCCGGTCTGCGGAGGTGTGGCAAGATGGTTTTTCGAGGGGTTCTTGCCCTTGCATGGAGACCGGTTCGTTTTGGGAGACAGAACGTGCATGACGTACTCATCTTGGCCTTTGCTTTTGATTCTCACACCTCATCCAGTGTGATTCATGCCTAGAAAGCTGTGGCAGGCCCAGCTATGTGTTGCCCAAGCTTGGCAGCTTTGTGGACTCTGGTCACATTGCCAGGGGCGACAAGGTGTAAGGGTGATGCCGTGACCTGATCTGTACCAGGTGTAGAAACAGCTGGGGTTGGCCAAGGAAGGGCTCATCAGAAGATCAGAAACAGCACTTGCAAGCTTCAGGTTGGCCAATGAGTCTTGAGTTTTGACCATGCTTGAAAATTAGCAGCTTGTACTTGTAAAAGAGGGCTTGCTTCCAACCCCTGCCGCTCAATTGCTCAATGTATTTCCAGATTTTAAACTTCTGAAGTGATGGAGGGTTTGACTCTGACCACCAAGCTTGGCGCATTGTTTATTGATGGTCTTTCTTCAGAAGCTGTGGTGTAGCTCGGCTGTCGGAAAGCGCATGTGGCGACTCAGAAAGAACACGGATCCCACCGATTTTGCCGTGATGGACGCAATCAGTCGGTCAACGTGATGAGTTGGTCAACGTGAAAGCACGTTTCTTCTTTTGGGAGCTCAGCCTGTTGAATCATTAAGGAAGCTACTAGGGCTCCTGGCCTTACTACTAGGAGCAAGAAGCTACTAGGGGCTCATGGCCATACTACTAGTAACAAGAAGCTATTAGAAACAAGAAATACATATATTCAATCTTAAATCTAAGTTGTCTCCGAACACCCACTCGATCGGTCAAAGACAGACCATTTTGAGTCGCTGAACGACCACCTTGAGGTGGAATGTACTCTTTCACGTTGGTGTGAAGGACGCACGGCACGACTGATGGCTTGAAATCGAAGGCTAGGCAAGGTGGTAATAGCTGAGATTAAAGAAACATGCGCCTCAATGGGCTGAGATTTGCTTGTTGTCCCCCATAGTCTACCTTTCTTCCTTGGGAGTCAGGGAGGCCTGAAAAAGCTGCTACAGTCGCTGTTGAGCCTTCCATCGACAAGGCTACAGTAATTGGAGTGCGCATGACCTATGCCATTTGTTGGCCTCTCACTGACGAAGCTGAGACTGCAGCTGTAGGCCTGTTGGACACTTGCGCTTGGTCAACAGCTTCGAAATGGAGACCAAGCTTCTGGTCGGACCGTAGGATGGGCTGAACATCCGACCGTAATTAGGCTGAAGACCGTTTTCGCAGGGATTGATTGCTGGGGGCTTGGTCTTAGTGAGATCTTCATTGCGGAAGCTTCCTGATAGCGGTGCTGTCTGCAATCCAGAACTTATTGATAGCTTTGGACAAGTCCAGGATTTGCGCGAATCTGCGATTCCTTTCTCTGGTCAGCCGAATATTTGACATGATTGTCAGGCAAAGTGTAGGATTTTACTGTACGTCAAAAAACAATGCAAGCCACTGCAACTCTTGCTCGCGAGTCCGGATTTTACGCCACCAGCCAACATCGCCAAATGGTGGTGATTGGTGAGTTCGCCAACCGGAGAGCGTGCGAAAAGGACAGGTGTGGCCATGCAAAGGAGCGAAGTGGTTGGACTGCTACGATTCGGCTAGCGTTTGTCGAGTCTTTCTTCCTCAACGAAGCATCACGGAGTGCCGGGTAGCTGCGAAGCTCCGCGGGCTTCCGAGCAGCAGAGCCCGCACCCGTGCGAACACATCTTGAAATAGCCCTTTTGCCGACTTTCGCCTGCTTGTTGGGATCTTCTTGGAGGTTTCTGCTGATGGTCTATTGGCATGTCTGTTGGAAGGCAAGACATGAAGACGAGAAATGACTCACGACTCCGCGCCACATAGCTTCTTGGCTTGGGTAATTGCCGGCACGGGCCCTTCGGCCATGAGCCCGCGGCGCCTCGCGGCCCGAAGGCGCGGGAACTCGAAATCGGTCCTGTTCTGATGCAAAAATTGGTGCTTAAAACGTCAGGGTTTAATGTGAGCGGTGAAATCTATCAAAATGATCTTGATTTGAAGAGGACCCCCATGAATTACTCGTAGATGCATATTAATGTCTTTTGCTTCAAGCTCTTAGATCTGACACACACACACACACATCGACCCGCCCAAATTCCTGTCCGAGGCAAAGGCGCCTTTTGAGTGTGCCTTTGGCAGTCCTTCTCCCGGTGCCTTGGCTTAGAAGGTACCTTCATGTCAACCACATGTCAGCTTGAAGCTTCCTCCTGCACTGACAGGTGGCTGCGGCGTTGCTGTCGCTGGGATTCTGCAGGCAAGAGGTTTTTTGAAAGACTGGACAAAAACAGACATTCGACCTTTAACTTGCCATTGCACTTGTGTGTCTTGGAGAATGTGTCAGTTTGGATGGATTACACTGCTGTCATTAAATTCACTCCAAAATGAGACATTTATAGGCTAGGAGATGGTATATATATATATATATGTATGAGTTGCCTGTGTAGCCGTGCCACAGGCGTTCCCTGTCCGAAACCTGCGCAACCGGGTCCAAGTTTCACACGAGCAAACCCTTGTCATTGCTTGCTCTTTGCAGGCGATGTCTCAGCTTTGCTGGAGGGGTCGCGGTGTGGCTCTCAGGAAAGAAGAGGGTTGAGACCTGTGTGTGGATGAACCCTCGGTCCTTCCGGGTTGGGAGCACGGGGGCACTGTGAGGAACATGAAAGTGCACTTATCTTATATATATAGATCTCAGGGAAGGGAGCGGCTGACCTCCAGGCGGAATGCAAGGCTTCAGGGTGGGGGCACCGGCCACGGCTGAGGCGAGAGCGCCGTCCGCCATGATTAGATATGCCTCAACCATTGAGGGTGATGAGCTTTGAGCTTAATTCCGCTTTTCCAGATTGGTGCTTAGTCGGGAATGAGGGTGGCTAACCCCGAAACCATAGATATCCTACGATCCAGCCCCACCCTCATTCCTTGCACGTTGCGCCTGTGAGCTTCAGCCACCTATCTCCTTTTTGAGCGGTGGATGACCTGAGGTTCAAGGCAGCTAGAGATAGAATCCGCCGAATCCAGCTTGGGTCTGGGCCTGAAGAAGCAACCATTTTGGGAGGTCGAGGCCAAGCTCCACGTTTGTGGCAGGCTGGGACCCAATGATCCTCTGCCAGAAGAGGATGACGACGAGGCGGAGGCGAGTCTAGGAAAAGGGAGGAGTGGAAGTCCAAACAGATTTGGTCCATCGACAGTGGCCTGGATGATTAGGTTGGAGGCCTGGACGCTTCTACGTTGGATGTTTCGGATCTTGGGGCTCAAACGCGTGGAGATCCCGTAAGCTGCCTTTGGTGCATTCCTAAGATGCCGCGTTTTTGGCTCGAAGGGACACGGGACCACCCGGTGCCCCGATGGTCATTACACTCAGGCCCTTCAGGCTGGGAACAAAGCTGTACATTCTACCTGGTGCGACTTGCAAAGACTGAGGGTGGCTCCTAAGGTATCAAAGGTCTTGAAATCAGCCACCGTCATTTCCGATGAGTCGACCCAGTCTGCACTTTGCCACCGATTCCTTTCAGCTCCACGCTTCATCGGTTCCTTCATGTTTCTTGGGGCTGCCTGGGTTGCTTGCGCTGCTTGCTCCTATGTGCAGAGGCTTGGCTTCTTCACCTTCCTTGGCTTCTTTGACAGGCAGCTTCAAGCAGCCCGTTTCAAGCAGTTTCAGTAGTCAATGTCAAAGCTATGTATAATATACATTACGAAAGCCAGCCGATAGGCTAGGCTTGAGCTTTTAGAGCGAAAAACGAAGTGAGGGTGTTGAGAGGGACATTTTGAGAGGGTGAGCCCGGAGCTTGGTGGGGGAGAGCGTTCCAAAGGTCAGAAAAGCAGCTAAAATGGTCTCTAGGGATGCGAGTGATGCAATGGATGGTGAGTAGTGCACCATAAGCATCATGAAGGGCTTTGGAGGCTATGTGGACAATGGGCATTGAGCACTCGAGATGGGGACAGAGACCCACGTACAGAGCAGACCGTAGCCGCATGTAGGATGCGAGTGCCCAGGACAACCCGCAACTCGCGAAATCCATAGAGAACCGAAAGTGACGTGAGTTCAAGTCCATGAATTTGGATTGGGTTTCGGTGGGGGTGCCTGCAAGGTTGACTACATATCCCCATAGGGTTCTTGCTCCCTAGCAAAGCCTATACTTGCACCATGTCCTCGGTCGAGTGGACGCTTCTCGCGGCGTCCACACGCACCGAACGCTTTTCCGGCTTGCTGGTGCAGATAGATAGATAGATAGATACATAGGTAGATAGATAGATAGAGATAGATTGAGATAGAGAGATAGAGAGATAGATAGATATATCGATAGATAGATAGATCGATAGATAGATATAGATATAGATAGATAAATTCTATATACTCCTGACTCATGACGTCGCCTTTTTGCTGGCGGCCCTGGCCGATCCAGTCAGCCTGGGTCTACGGCCCAAAGATCTACACACACACAGGGGCCAAAGTCAAGGCCTCTGAGTGAGAAAGGCGAAAAGTTGATAAGAAAGAGAAGAATACAGAAGGTGCTTGGCATTTGGATCGTTTAATAAAGGCCCCTTTAGAGGAAACAGATTGTGTTTTAGATTGAGCCAGAACATAACTCACTCAAGTCCAGGCATGTGCATCGATAGGCGCACAAATCCTTTGCTAGCCCAAGCTACTCCCGCTGGACCTCCCCTTCTGCGCCGCGGGATCAAACGTCCGTGTCCCGGCTAAGACGTGCCCGTTCACTCTTCCAAATCAACGAACGCTGCTTTTCGACGTGCCGCCGTGTGCATTGCAAACTTCAAACACTCCATATGTAACAAACACATAATTGCTTCTATTCAAACGCCTGCCGTACTCTCGCGCGCGCGCGCGAGGCGACGCTCACTATGGAGAAGGTCTTTCTGCGCGCGCCGCGTGCGCGTGGTATCCCACCACTCGAACTCAGACGGTATTTCCCTTTCGCTAACCCTGATGTCGCCTTCCAACTTCCATAAGATGCAGACCTTCCTGCGTGTGACAAACACATGCCGTTGCCTTGTGATGATGACCTACACCAACATACAACGTATCGCACTTCTCTTTCACTACTTCTTTCATACCAAACTTACCCCAAAGCCGCCCGGCTTGCTTCTCTGCTCCCTCCATCACCATGACATACGCCCCCCCGCATCCGCGGCACCGCTGACACTCGCCTGGCGGCTGCTGGCTTTCGTCCCCCCCTTCTCAGGTGTAATTTTTGACGGAGTTTCCCTTTCACACCGCTGGAAAGTGCCAAAGAATTCCAGAAAACAAGGGCCCAGACTTTTGAACTTGAGCATCCCTGCAGGCCATCAGAAGCAGCCACTTATGCTGAGACCTCAGAGACAGTGACATACAGCACCCGGTCTTCTAGCTAATTAGTTAAACTTATTCCTTCTTCACGTGCACTGAGTTATTGGAAGATAAGGCACAGCAAAAGTCATCAGAACCAGACGAAAAATCTCAGTTGCCCAACAGCATTGAGGCGATTGATGCTCATGGACATTCACGGGCGCTCATGAGGCACAGCACTTTCCTCCGACATGTCAAGAACAGCTAGAACAGTCAGCAAATCATCGGGTCAAACAAACAAAGTGAGTGTATGGGAGATAATTTATTGGTTTTGTTTTGTTCCGCTGGCAGAGAGGCAAGAAGCAACCAACCGACAAGCATCGTTGGAGGAGGCGAGTTTGTCTTCATTTTTGTGGCTTTGCTTGAAACCTGAACATGATGCGGCCCCTTCTCCTTTTCGCATGTTGAGGAACGGTGTTCTTGTTCTCGAAACTCTCAAACTGGATAGCTCGTAGCTTGACTAGGTTTTGAAAGGAGTCAGGTGCACTTCAGCACTGCAGTGAGCTAAAACGCTCTCCCATGCAGGGGGATCCAGACAATGACTGTGTTTGGGGCGATTGGCAGGAGTGGACTCCGGATGGACATGACGATGACACCACTGGGATTCGGCGGCAACATGTGTATCAGTGACAAAGGTCCGGTGACCAAAGGTCCCACGAGAGCCAACGGTCTGGGTAGACGGAGAAAGCGCGTTGAGATTGACAATTGGTAGGCCAGCTAGGCCAGGCATGGCCAGGCTGTAAAGACATTAAAGCGCGGCCAGTGGAGATGGGCTGTTTTTTGTTTGGCGCTTCTCGACCTGCAGGACTGGACTCAGTGCACCGTGACCTGTGGAAATGGCATGCGGACGCGACAAAAAAGCCAAGAATCCATTGGAGAGGCCAGACTGTCAAGTGACAAGCAGGGAATCCATCATCTCTGCTGTCTCCAGTTGAATCCCTCGATTCCTGAGACTCAAAGAAACAACTTTTTGTTTTTTGATGCTACAAGGGGCTCCTGGCATCGCTAATAGGAGCAAGGACTCTACTAGGGGCTCCTGACATTACTACTAGGAGCAAGGGCGCTACTAGGGGCTTGGGTTTTTTCGACCTCTCTTTGCCAGGAAGCCGTCTGTGAGGAACCAAAGATGATGCTCGCAAGCATCGGTCATGCGACCCTGAACAAGGGCCTGCGAGCAGCGCCAAGAATGTCTTCGGCCAATAAGGTTCAACTTCAGGGCATGTAAAGTCTGTGGGTGTAATACCTTTCTATGCTTTGTGTGAAGTGAGATTGGCAAGAAGGGCAACCGAAACCTGCTTTCGGAAATCTCGTTCCCCCCGCGTTCCCTTCGTTGTGGGTCAGATGAAGTCACATCTCCATCCCAGGAAGTCACAGAGTCAGGCCTGGTCAACTGTCAACTGTCGGATTCCGTCGGACGCTGGACATGTTTGGAATTCAAATAGATAAAGGCGAACCTCTTCTGGCAAAGGAGACTCTAGCCGCACACCGAAGTGGTAGTCTTGTCTATGCGGGAATGAGGTGCTGCCTGGTTGACACTTGAACCAGGCAAGAGACGACGTGGACTGTTGCGGATGCGATTGTGAGCTTTGTTGGACGTGTGGGTATTGGGTTTGCGATCTAGAGCAGAAAAGGAGACGCGAGCCAGAATTGTCTCGCCAACCGGGTTGGACATGAACAAGGCCTTCAAAGTTGCGTAGCAGCGCTGCGTCCAGACACTCGAGGAACCAAGCAATCGCCTCCGTATAGCGTCTGGAGGTGAAGGGTGGGGTCTTCTTTGACCCAGAGCATAAGGTTCATGGTTGGGCAGCACGACGCAGCGCATAGCTGCTCATTTCAAGCGCTTCACCGACGTCCGTGCGCTGGAAGGGCTTTGTTCCTTCGGATGAGCCAGGTTCAAGTATATTAGGGAAGGTGGCCTCGTGGCCTTTGCTTGGAAAGGATAGATGCTGTTGCGCGTGAGAACAAGAGCAGTTCGTTTGTGTGCCGAAGAGTGCAACAAGGAGTTGCTGATCGCCTCGCGACCGCGCCAGAAGCGCTCAAGAAGGCTGTGAAGTTCCTTTTGAGGTAGCGGTGGATGAAGACGCAAACAGAGGCGAGTCAAGTCATGGACACTTCTGGAGCAGGAAGGAAAAAGACATGTACGCGTGATGAAGGGGGGATGAGCAGCTGATGAGATTTTTGCCAGCTGAATTGAGAGATAGGCCCGGCCCAGACGTTTTTGCAGGGCATACCTGCCGCAGGCGTGCATTTACGAACTGCGTGAAGAACACATCAGTGGGCGAAGCGCGTCGCGTACATGTGTGATCATCTGTGCCCATGGAAAAGACTGCCACTTCCCCCGAAAGCGAAACAGTTTCGGACGGCAGACGTTTGGATTCTGTCGAAGACCTCTCGTGTTTCCTGTTTTCGCAGCTGCAGCAACTCATTCTCACATGTGTCAGCCCTTAACACTTTCTGTGCCGCCGCGTGCTTTATGCAGCCAGGCGTGTAGCCACACCACGTGCCCAACCACAACCAGCACAACGTTTACCATGGACCCGTTTGCAACTTGGCCGGAACTTCACCACCACAGATGGCAATGCTTTTGGGGACAGCAGCGATGCCTTTTCGTAAGCAATGAGCAATGGTTGCATTTGCACTTTCAATCCGCTGGACGTGAGCGTCGGGAGAAGCAGAACTTGAAACTGCAGCTATGGCGGTTGCTGATACTTTCCGGTTCCAAGGGTGTGCCATGTTCTCCCAGATCGCTCCAGGAAGCAGAAACCACCACTGAGCCAGACACAGAGAGTGCTTCCGGGGGCTTGGCGTCAGCGATGTCAGACGTAGCCTCTAGCCGCTGGGACCGCGGTGTTCTGTCGGGACGAAAATATACGTGGGCGAAAGATCCAAGAACCGTCAACGCCCAGGAAGTGCACAGGCCAAAATTTTGGCGTGTTTGTTGCTGTCAGTAAAACGGGTGGCGACGTCGGAAAACCCAAGGCCAACCAGCATTTTTTAGGCCTTTGCTTGCAAAAAAGGGTACTTCAGTCCAAAGCAAGTAAGCAAGTACTAAGACTTGATTTTGTGTCAGAAACAGCATCAAAGAAGGTAAGACGGTTTTCTTGTTCATTGCCAGTGACGTCCCAGACCTAAGATGGGGTTGGGACCCGTTGGGAAGTGGGAAGTCCTTGGGAGTTCTTCTCAGCTTTCTTGTTGGATCTTGTTGGTATATAAGGAGGCAAGTGGAAGTTCCACCAGTGAAAAAAATCACGATATCAACATGTGAGGAAAGAGGAACTAAACTTGTTTTTCTATTTTTTTCTGGTTCCTGGCGTTTCCTCCTTTGTCAAGATCTGGACACCAATTCCGCGAAGATGTGGTTCTCACTTCTCAGCATCGTGGCAAAAAAGGCCAGCCCAATATCAGACTGGATTTGTATTGATGTTAGATGGGCTGAGTCTTGGGCACCAATATGAAGCAGCATAATTACGTGAGGAATCATGAGGACCATTTGTTCAGCCCTGTCGCCGCACACCAACCTTCGCTCTGTCGCCTCGCCCAGGCCTGAACCCATTTTCGGACTAGCCAAAATTTTGGCCGCGCTCATTTGCGAGAGAAGCAGAAAAAGCGTAGTTGGCAGACTGAGAACACCAAGTTCAAGGCATACCGCCTGTACGAGCTGCCGGTCACAACGATGAATTAACCCGAGGCTTCCAGGATGTTCACAAAGGCTTTTGTTTCTTATTTACTCACGTCTCCGAATACACAACAGGACCCAAGCTGTTTAGTCAGATAGTTCTTGCATTTTCTTGCTTTGGCAGGAGAAGGAGCCTGAAGTGGTGCCTGGGTCAAGCACTCAGTCGCTTCCAAAGCTGCTCGGGCTCGGGTCATAGAAATGACAATGGGCAATAAATACATAGGGTGTAAAAGCGTTGGATACGAGATAGAGTCTTATTTTTAAGCCATCGCCAAATGGCCTTATCTCAACTTCTAGTGGCAAAACAGGCAAGAAGTTGTTCTATATATCATATATCACTACATTGCACCTTTGTTGTACCTTTTTGTAAACTCTGCAGATTCATTCATGAAGAACAATCACCCTGTTCGATGGACTTGCTTTGTAGGTGGTTTCTTAGGCCATTCCGGACTGGAATTGAATGGCAGGCAGTGCAAGAACTCTTGTTTTCTCAAGAACTCTGACAAAACAAGGGTAGAGTTGTGGACTTGCCCTCCAACCCTTCCATTTTCCAAGCGATTCTCAGGAGTGTTAGAGCAAAAGCTGATGTTTGGAAGTCCCAAATGGCTGAGTGTCGCCAAGAGCAAATGGACTCAGGGGACATGCTCTGAGGCCTGCAACAGGCAAACTAGACTTGGCAGAGGCCTTGTAGTCCTGCATATTTTTGAGTTTCTCGGAGCAGTTTGCGTGGTCCTTCTGAGAGCTTCAGCGATAAACGCATAATGACAAAACAACCAGGGTTTCGCCAGGCAGAACAACCGGCAGCTGCTGTCAAGGCAAGACATCTTTCTCAAGTGGCATCAAAGTGGATGTTTTAAATTGTTTTTGGAGCTGCTCTCTGGTGTTGACTTGTATTGCCTCCTTCATTGAGGCATGGAAAATGAAAACGCAGCGTTGATCACACAAAGGGACGGGAAGCTTTGAAGGGAGAGCGGGTCCAATTCTCTGAGTTCTCCCAATGAGGCAGCTGTCTCTGGTGAGGTGACCACGACAGATGCCAAAGAGGCACAGCCTTGGCAAAGCGATGGAACGCCAATGAGGGCTTTGTCGTTTTGCTCTGCAAAGAACACATTTTTTCACAACCTCAAGCCATTGAGCAGGGGAAAAAGAGTAGGATGATTCGTACAGAAAAGGGAATTTTTCAGGTTGGAACATGTTGGAACCTAAGTGCTGAGAACCCTCCAATGGGGAGCCAGTCCCACCCACTTCAAGTGGGTCCTAGTGATGACACTATTCTCCTTCCCAGAGGGAAGCGCTTTCCGGTCGACCGGAGGGGCCTACAGCGGACCCAACAGGGCACCGTCTGACGTCGCGCAGAGGCAGCTGACGAGGATGCCCCAGTGGCCGTGCCAAGCCCGGATCAAGCTGGATCGGCCAGCGAGACGTGCTGAAGCAGATGTGCAATTGGTGTGCAAGACACGGTCAAACAACAAAACGAGTCGTCCAAAAAACCTTAACCCACATAACTTAACTGAATTTAGTAGCACGATGTTTTTCATTGATCGTACGGTGGTCTAACACCTGCATCGCGCAAGGTTCGCGCAAGGCCGGCGCCAAAACATATCCCGAAGAGGAATTGTCCAAAATTGAAGACGCAGCTTGGAGAAGAGGTTGTTTTGCAACACTCACTGGGACAGGACGCCGACCATAAGGGCGAAACAGATGCTTTCTCATTGGACGCCTCATAGGAGCACAAACAGAGGAAGATGCCCATGCCAAATTTAGGGACGGAACTGCCCAAAGGGCGGCTAGAATCTGCTAGGAAGCAAGCAAGCAAACTGCTTTGGCGAAGGCAGAAGTGGGCCCGCATACCACAATTTCCCACATCAAGTTCAGAGGATTTTGCTGATGGATAGTGCTTGGAAGAAAAGAAAGGAAGCGGCAATAAACAAACACAGACACGAAAAATCAAACAAACTCACACACACACACACTCTGACAATTGTATTCAGTTAACTCAGTTACCACGATGTGAAGGATGGCGAAGAACCGCAAGGTGGAAAAGTCAGCTGAAACAGTATGGTTGAACATGGTTTTCCAAACGCACTTAAAAATTAAAATTGGAAAAAACGCAGGTACGTTTTCAGCACCACACCACCAGGCTCTTCGTTGACCACTCCCTGGTGGTGGGTGGAGTGGCCCCCTGCTTCTTTTTGTGCGCTTTGAACATGTTAAACAATTGACAAGCTGCGCGCTAATAGCGATACCAGGAGCCCTTAGTAGCGAAGCCGGGGGGCCTTAGTAGCGTCCTTTGTGACTCGAAACTCGGTGGTCCCTTCGGAACAGGGGGTGACACACACAAATTGCCGTAGTCGGCGCCGTTTTCTTTGCAAAAAACGGTCAGAGGCCCCTATAGTAGTACCGTTTTTGCTCCTAGTAGCGATCTGCTGGCAACAACTTTGTACACATAACGCCAATATTGGCGTTCCGGAAAACTACTAGTCACCTAAAAAGCCTTAGAACGACAGACAAAGAGAACAAAACAAGAGCAGACTAAGAGGGCAAGAAGGAAAGATAGGTATAGTGACGAGGCCAACTTAGTTAAATGAAAGTAGTTCGCGAGCGGGACTCTGGTCTTAGACCGCTCGGGTAGCTAGCAATAGATAGGAGAAGCAGAAGGAAAGGCACCAACACACAAGTGTGTTGAGTGCGATTTCCTTCTGTTGCTCGATTGCGGGTGGGATAGCAACAGAGGCCCAGGGGCAGGGAGGGGGTGCACTGATTAATTTGTCCGGCCTGTGAATACTTAGCAGCATGACATGGACATGCGAATACTTAGCAGCAACATGAAGATCATGCCGAAAGAATGCAATCACTGTAGACTGAAGGAGTACCGTGGTGAGGCCCGGCGGCCATTGATTCGGTGGATGTGTAAGTGACTTCCAGTGGGATTCCGGTGAAAGGTGGCTGAAACCGTTAGTGCTTTAGAACCCTTTGTCCAGGGGTGGACACACATAGACAGGTCGCCGGCTTTTGTTGCTTTCAAATTCCGTTTTTAGGCCCGGCGGCCAATGCATCAGTTGATTCTATGGATGTGTCAATGACTTCCAGTGGAAATCCGGTGAAACGTGGCAAGTTGGGGCAGATGATTTCCTATGCAAAAACGGCGCCCCAGTGACGGGGATCACACTCAGCACCCGAGTGGGACGGCTGAGCGAAACACACTCTGACAATTGTATTCAGTTAACTCAGTTACCACGATGGGAAGGATGGCGAAGAACCGCAAGGTGGAAAAGTCAGCTGAAACAGTACGGTTGAACATGGTTTTCCAAACGCACTTAAAAATTAAAATTGGAAAAAAAGCAGGTACGTTTTCAGCACCACACCACCAGGCTCTTCGTTGGCCACTCCCTGGTGGTGGGTGGAGTGGCCCCCTGCTTCTTTTTGTGCGCTTTGAACATGTTAAACAATTGACAAGCTGCGCGCTAATAGCGATACCAGGAGCCCTTAGTAGCGAAGCCGGGGGGCCTTAGTAGCGTCCTTTGTGACTCGAAACTCGGTGGTCCCTTCGGAACAGGGGGTGACACACACACACACACACGCACACAGTTGAACAGAACATGTGATTTGACTATGTCCGCTCAAGAACCGCGCAAAAGTTGCCCAAGGCCGGCGCACGGATAGTTTTCGGGAAAAGGAATTTGGACAGCTTCCAAATGAAATCTAGTTAAATTTCATGAAATCACATGAACTCCGTGCTCATTTGAGAAAGTCAAATGGATCCTGAGGATGCCTTTGCTGGTACGGAAAAGGATGTGCCAGAGTTGCAGTCTGACACCCAGATGTGAGACTTGAACTGACCAGTCTTTTTCGGCTTGGCGAACCTGACCGAGGATAGAGGAGTCGGACAAGGAAAAGGAGAAAAAGACAGGCGCGAACAGAGCAGCACTGAAAAGGGCGTTGGTCGATGGATAGAATTTATTTGAATTTATGGTAGGTGAACAGGTTAGTTAGTTCATGTTGATCTTAATGAGAACTCTTGGCTTGCATTGCAGAGGCCTCTCGATGGCCCAGGCAGCCCGTGTGATCAGGTCCAAACCTCTTCCAGGCCTTGTTCCAAGACCTGCAAGTGGTCACTTTGCCGAGTCCGGGTGAGGTGGTTGGGCTTCCCAGCGAACGAATGAACAGCATTCAAAGGCATCAAGATACTTTTCACTGCTTCTTCTGAGTTGAGCGCAAACGCATGCAAATGATCGAAAGTTGAAAGCTTCCTGAAGACAGACTTGGCAGAGTCTAAAAAGTGTAGCCAAGTTGGGTCAGGTATGGCTTCATCATGCTCCATCAGCCTTCATAACTCACCTCACACTCACCTCACCACCTGATCTCGCCTGCCTCGCATCCGGTCACCACCCACAGACGCCCATTTCGGACCTTTTTCACTGTTCGTTCGTTCTTCGTCGACCGGAAGACCGTTCGTTGGTGCCTCCTTCCGAGGCTCAGACCTTTGGCATCGTCCTACTCTTGGTGCGGAGACCTGAAACGTTCCGACCGTCTGACGGCGCAAAGGAACGTCGGGGCGTTCTCCGCTGGATCGGTCGATGCTACGAGCAACGCGTCTCAAAGGAGATATATGTAGCAACCCCACAAAGTGACGGTAAGGCTACGAAAGAAGGGATGTGGTATAAATGATCTGGATGTTTGCACAACCAAGAGGGGGCCAACCCTACGACCAATACCCTTTTCATTGAAAAAGTCAGTCGACAAACATTCAAAGCACCGAACATCGATAGTGGCAAATGGTGCGTCAAACTTGTCAGCAACGCTTGATCAGTCACAGCCCGACGCATCTTCTGCATCTAGCAGAGAGGATCGGTGTCCAAAGAGGCATTACCTATCAGTCTGGTCCCGCCTGAAGCGAACAAAAGGGGCTGGGTTCCCACTTTGCACCCGCGAAGAGATCCCGATGACCCGCAATCAGGTGGCCGGATACACTGGCTTCATTGCTGTAGTGGACTTCACATCCCAACAGGCGTGGACTGTGTTTGGTGAATCGGTAAGCTAGTAAAGTGGTTATCTAGTATTTCGTAACCTAGTAAAACTAGCTGCACCCTGCTCGGATTGCAACGATTTTGCTATGAAACCATGAACTCCGAGTTCAGCCTTGCTGTATTCCAAGAACACCAGTCTGGGTGTTGGGGGATGGTGCTCTCTCTCTCTCTCACTGAGGCCTTAGGCCAGGTCTTCGCCGACTTTTACAAGGCGCAATTGAACATGCTTTGAGGTGGCAACGTCGATGGAGCTGAGCTGTAGCATCAATTAAAATGATTGGATGCAAGTGTTCACTAAGTGACTGTCGGATGAGTACCGCGAAGGACATAATTCGCAGGTAGAAATCACGCACGACCGCCTGAGGCAGCTCGCCCCGAAGCGCCTCAACTCTGAAGGGACTGGTTCCTGGCGTATCAGCAAGTTTGTATAGCTACACGCAACACAAGAGTTATCTAGGCTCTTCTCGGTGGATGCGTGAACAGCAGACTTGAAGGCAGATTTTGAGATGCAAACATTGCGTGAAAGAAATTATCTAATGATTCTGATTGTTGGAACTCTTGTCCGCGGAGCATTCCTTTGTTTTCTGAGAAACTCAGTTTCTCCCGTGGCTACGGCCACCTGTTTTCAGACTGCTTCGCGGGTCACAAAAGATTGCTTCAGGATTTTCAAAGTACTGCACGGCTTCGCAGAACCAGCTATCCTGGAGTGCGCACTTTCAGAAATACCAACAAGCTGTCGCAAACGGTTGTTTTTTTCCTGCAGATTACTATACTATACTATACTATACTATTGTTTTTGCCGTATCGTGTTCTCGTGTTCTGTTCTTGGTTTCCTCTGGGCTTTGTTCAAGAGAAGCTCCGCTACACCGCTTTGGGAACGGCTCCGCTCGGTGCGCCGACGGATCCGGAGCGCCCGATACACGGTCGTTCGACAGAACTCGAGGGATGTGTTTGTTCTAGCTGACTTGGGAAGAGTGTTTTTCTTTTCTTTTTTTCTTTGCTTTTTTATTGTAACACAGAAGAGACTTCGCAGAACAGGCTCACATACCAACATGTTTTTTTATTGCGCGTGCTTTTTTGCTCGAAAAGAAAGCAATACGACGTTGAACAACAAATTAAATTGCATTTTGCGTTGCACTTGTAGAATCTTATAGTTGTTTTTTCTCCGCTTCTTTCCCTCTAGTTTATCTTCTAAAGCATTGAGACCTCACGAAAATGCAAACACATAAGATTGGACCCACGAACCCGAATGGAAGACTCTTGTGCAAAACTCTTAACACCCTTGTGGGACACTCTTGCTTGACGCTTTTGTGCAAGACTCTTCTAGGACACTCTTGTGTGACAAACATCGCAACCTCACAATTCATTGCGCCTGCCATGTAAGGTAATCCCAAGCATCATGGACAAAGTACTGCACCTGCCACGGAAAGTATGGACAATACTGTACCACTTCCTCCCTCCGGGGAAGCGCTTTTTGGAAGGATGGACCATCCGTGCCTGACCAAACTTGTGAAACGCGACTGACTCCTATGTTTGCCGACCTCTTGGTTGGGTCGGCTAGAACGACGCGTCTCGTGAGGGCGGCACGTTTCGGCGGATTTTAGCAGATTTGCTTTGCTAAAGTTGCTTTGCAATTGGACGATTTTTTGATCAACATCATTGCTATACGATTTTGTTTGGTGGGACACTTTTGAAGTGTCGGAATCATTCGCATGTGGAATAGGGTGCTGTCGGATTTATGATCAGTTAAAGTCTGCTGGCCGCCGCTCGAACACCGTCACGCAAACACGACCCAGCTCCCAGACCACCCCAGTTAAATGGGAACCCTTCACTACTGTACGCATTCGGGAAAGACTCTAAATGATTCTAAGATCAAACGCAACACAAGTGTTCATGACAATAATCTAACATCATCTAACAGTATCAATTTGCTTGGAGGCTTTTGCTGACTCAAATCCAAGCTGCGCAGGCAGTGTTTAACGTCTAACGTCACGCCGTCGCTTGCTTGGACCCAAAGCTACTGCGGAAGACCAGTCATTTGGTTCTGCCTTCAAGCTCTCCCAAAGCCAGCCCAAACTCTGCAGGCACAAGTGTCCAACTCACAGTCCTTCGCGAGGTGTCGAATCTGTGCGAATCCGAACCATCCCAAACTCAGCAGGTGGCAATGAGTGGCAATGTCCAAGGTCGTCATTTCTGCAACCGGGCAAAAAGCATGATCAAGCGTTATAAAGATCTATAAAGTTACATAAAGATGCATATTAACAAGAAACTACTCGTACTAGGAAGGAGGGCGTCGCTATGATCGTAACAAAGGGCATGACTACGAACGGAGCGATCGGACGCTACGATCGTAGCTCCGAAGTCGGACTTCCGGCCACGGACCTGTGTAGCGCTTGGCCCAAGGCTCGGGCAACCGTCGCGTGCCCCGCGACCCGCGGCGCGGCCCGATGGAGATCGCCTTCGTGGCGCCGGAGGCTGTGCCGGGCTGGTCCAGCAGGCTCTGGAAGCAGTTTTTGGAGTCAAGCGACCCTTATGACTTGAACGTCTTGTCCAGAAGTGTTGCAGTGCTGCTGAAGCTCAACTAGTGATGCGTTTTCCAAGTTTGGATCAGGCGCAGCCATGGAGATCTCCACAGCTCCGCTTCCAGCTCGGCGCCGTTGAGGCGGGTCCGAAGTAAGGTGGATTCGTTCAAATCCCAGAAGTGGCTCGCAACCTCCCTATTGACATGAGGTTGATCCAACAAGTGCAACAAGTCCTGTCTTCCAGATTTCCTTAGGAGCCTGCTAATCTCGTGTAGGAGACAAGTACACTTGGGGCGTCCATGCCAATGGTCAAAAATGGACCGTACACATTGTCCCGTGGTGTGTGCTTTTGCAGACTAGAACTCTTAGAGGCAAGGGTTCTGTCAAGATGGCTAGAAGAACTACGAACATGATCGGCATTTTTGTAGACGTTGTTGGTGGAAGCTTCTTGCAACCGGATCTCTGCTACGTTTCATGACCAACAAGAGAGTTTTACCTTTACCATACAGCAGCAGAGAACTCCTACAATTGCATTTGGGCCCCCTGTCTGCCGCAGCCTGGTGCCATGTGAAGGCAGTCCTGCGGAGTTTTTGGATGGGTCTAAGCCAAATCAGGCTTGTTGAGTGCTCTTGGCTCTTGAGACTTTATATAGGAGATTACTGTATTCTTTTCCTTTTGGGCGCTTCTTCATTCTCTTTGTGGCAACTGTGGCAGACCATCCTCAACCTCCTGGGAACCCGTGGCGCTGGGTGCGGCGCTGGGCGCTGCCGCGCGGGGGCCGAGGGCGCTGGAAAGAGTATGGGCGCTTGGGACCGACCTGGGTACTTTTTGGGAGGTACAGGTTCCCCCAAAACCAAAACGCTAAAGACAGTGGTTTATACAAAAGGGATGTGCACCTTTGATCACTGGATTGAGAGTTTGAGAGGGACGTGTACCTTGTCATCCTCGTCCACCTGCTCAAACGAATTGCGATCGACGGAAGACTGGCCGGAAACCAAAGGTGGAACGCTGCTAGGAACCGATTTTTGCTCCATGGAAACGGATCACCAACTCATTCGTGGGGGGGAATCTCTTTTGCAGAACCCAGTCAATTCGGGTTCCAGTCAACCTCCACCTTTACACCTTTACGCTAGCCCATGCCGTGTGGTACCTCCAATTTATCTAAACTATGCTAGACTTCGTGATACTGATACACCTGGTACACCCAACATCATGTAAGCCACATCTCAGGCGGCCACATCCCGGCGGCGACCCAGCATGGCAGCGCGTGGTGGTGAAGCGGCGGAGGAAGCCACGGACTTGGAGAAGGCCGAATCCACAGGTTGCCATTTTTTGGTCGCTGTGGATCCATTAAGGTAAGACAGATATGTCAAGAGATGCGCGAACCGAGCACATTTCATCCTGCTTTTGAACATCTCATCATGTTGCAAGCTGATGGTACTTTGGCTTGGCCTTGGTAGGTTTATGGGTGGCATTTCCGCATGAAAACATAACTATAGTACAGTATAGTGAGTTCCCAACCAGCAAGTGTTTGTCGCAAACTGTGTTGTAAGTTACTGTAGAAGATGTGAAGAAACTTATTTTGTAACGTTGCCAAGATATGTCCTGATGCTTCAACTCAGTTTCATTTGTCCATGTCAGCGGAATACCGGTCCTTGGTCCATGAAATTGAGCCGGGCACATCAGCAAACATGATCGACTCTCCTCGAGAGACCACGCTGCAGTGTATTGCAGGCCGTGGCGGAGGGGCGCATGATCACAGTGGAAGAGTCTACGATCCGGAAGGAGGGGCAACCCAGAACCTTCATGAACAAATGCAGAATCAGATTCCATTGTGAACAGACACTGTGTGGATTGAGATGAGACAGACAAATGAGAGTAAAAAAGCAAGAGCAGTCCACATTTTTCACCAACCTCAACACACACACACATGACAAATGACTGGGGCTCATCCGAGTCTGTCGGTCATGCGTCAGTGGAGTTGTCCTTGCTTTAGCAAGTGAGGGGCTGGAATCCTCGAGATCGCCGCATCACGTGAAAACTTCATATGTAGAGGCCCCCCCCCCGCGGGTTCAACTCGCCCCTGGGACACCTCTTGGATACTTCTTATGGCATCCACTTCGGTTCAACTCCTCCGTGGAGGTTTTGGGATACGATGCAACAGATTCAACAGATTCACAAGCTAAGGTTGGCTGTGTCATTGCTGTTCGTGTGTCTTGCATGTTCACAACGTTTTACCTCATGAGCGAGACCTTGTGAACCATCCCTCCAACAGCACCATGCCTATGAAAAAAGATTTGCCTCACTCCGCTTGATGTCCCACCAGTCCTTTGTCACTGGACGGCGCTGTATGCTTCGCCTCCACTGACACGGATGCATCTCTGCTATGCTAGCTTTCGTCACCTACCCTCAGCCTCAAGTGATGTTGTTGTATGTCACTGCAAGAATCAACAAACAGAACTCGTGCCACTTGGCTCAGGGACTCGGTGCCTTTTTCTTAGCCACAGCCCAAGCAGTCCAAGGGCAAGGGAAGGTGACGAGGCTTGCAAGAGACTTCTGGCTCAGTCAGCGCAGCGCACGCGGCGCTTGCCGCAGCACCCCAAACGATCGTTTAGGCTTTCCAAAGAGTTCTAAAGCAGCCAAGGTGCTCTTCCTTTGGCAGGCCTCACTCGTCATCTCCACCGGAGCGTGAAGCCGAGAGACGCAGATTTCACCTGAAAAATCCATGGAGGATTGCACCATCCAGACTAACATGATAGTCCTCCACTCGAGGCAGGTTCCTAGCCATTGGTGGTTCTTCAAAGCTCTTCAGCATGGCAAAAACTCTTCTGAATGCTGTAAGATGCTGGCCCTTGATGAATATCAGGTCTCAAGAATTGAGGATCATCAAGCTCCCCACCATGTCAGTCACATCTCGTGACCAGCTGAGGCTGCGACACTCAGCATCGGTGGTTCCAGCTATTCCACGTCGGCAGCTCATCGGGAGTCGATCTGCAGCTCTGCACCGAGCTGCGCCGGTGGATCCGCAAGTGGAACCATAGATCCGCCAAGGCCCAAAAACGCGTATTTTTTGAACCGGACCGGCTTCAAGCGTCGAGCGTCCCTCACACCGGTGATGGAACATCCCTGAGGCTGGCCCTCTTGGCCTCCAATGCGGCAGGGTGGGCGAACCTAGACTTCAGATCAGATTGGCAGTCTCCATGGCTTTGATACGATCGACGATAAGTTGGCCGAGTCTCAGAGGTGGTGAACTTGGACTTGACCCGAGGACATATGAGGACACGTTTGGACCGGGTTGAACTTGGACCTGTCTTCGGAAGACGTCTTTGGTATGCACTGGACAACTGATTTGAAGAAGGATTTCGGAAGCTCTTGACTCTCCAACGGGCGTTTTGACGTCCAATGTGGGTCCAAAGAAGCTCAAAGCCCCAAATGCAACAGCTTGTAAAAAGATCGAATGGGGACCGTGGAACACCTCTGAGATCTCCTCAGGTTTGCGGGCAGTGGCTCCTTAAACCTCTGAGGCTGTGCCGCCTGGGGACCTCGGGGCTTCAATCTCCACGCCAGTCAAGATGAAGTTTTCTGTGGAGATGACACGACGTGCCGTGTCGTTCTTTTCTTTTTTTACTTTTATTACTTTTGGGTTGTTATACTGTATGTTGTTATGCAGGTTACCCATACATCAAGAAACCCATGTTGTTGGGGTGTGTACTGTACACAGTCGTACACGTAACAATGTCTATCCATGATGAGACAATCAGGATCACAGGGTGAGATTCACTGAGGCAGCGCTGAAATGGAATCTGAATGGACCATTCTCTTTTGCTGAAGCTCCTGAGCAGTGCCCTGCTCTTTGCCGCTGTGAACTCGCGTCCTTTTTCTTTTGGGCAGCACTCGAAAGATTTGCGAAGACACCAAAGATTGGTCGGTTTCACTGTTTCGTAGCAGCGTGTGGCATGGTTTGTGTGCCGCTGAGAACTATCTTCTGCGGCTCGAGTTGATGTGACGTAGCATGATGCCGAGAACTCCCTACCGAGATTCAAAGCCAAGCGATCAGCATCAATGAAAGGCGGCCAGAGTGACATCCAACAGACGGAGTGTATGACAGTGCCATTGAAGTATAACTTGCTTCATTTTTTCATGATTCATCACTCTTCAGCTTCAACCAAATCAAACCATCTGTTTTCTAGGGCTCGAGGCTTTTCACAGCTTTTGACGCCATGACCGCACAAGCCACCCAGGCAACGTGTCATGGTTGGATGTGTTTTGATGTGTTCAGGTTTCTTGATCTTCAATCCTCTGAAGGCTACAGAATTGGCCGCCTAGCTTTCCGTCCTTTTCGCCAGGCGAAGCTCCACATGCGGAGCCGGGCGGCAGCTCGGTAGATTCGAGGGAACACCGTGGGAGGGTTGGAAGGATGGTATGGTACAGTTATGTACAATGCAAACATGTACGCTGGCTGTAGGCAGGTGTATGACTCCTATGACTATATGTTTCTCTTCAGCAACTGTCATGGAGAGGTGGATTGGTTGAGTACTTTGTGCATGGTCACCTGCTGTTTGTCAGTTGCATTGTTCCGTCGTCTCGAGGAAGGCACTCCGGGTCTAATTCATGCTGTTGCCAGTTGCCAGCAGATATTCATGATTCAGTGACAAGGCTTTTGCCGGCCTGGCTGGCATTGGCTTTTGGTACTATGCTGCGGTGATGTTTGTGGCTTGGGTGCAAGTCTTTATGTGCGTGTGTGTGTGTGTGTCACCCCCTGTACCAAAGGGTTCACTGCCACAGTTTTCCATTGCCACCACCCCACGAAGCAGGGGGCTCACGGGTCTGTTCCTGGCGTGAGCCAACGAAGCTCCAGGTTCAGACTAGGATATCGAAAGAGGACGCTCTTTCGACGTACCTGCAACCTGAACTTTTGACCACGCTGTCTAATTTGCTTTGTTTGATTCCATGGTTCTTCATGCCACCTACCCCCAAACCCTTTGTCCCACCGCAGACATGCAGCCGACGTGCAGCAGCGATGAATGTCCGTTTCTTCAAGTGCGCTTGCAAACATTGTTGAAACAATACCTTTTCACGGACTCTGCCACCCTGCCGTTCCATCGCCATTTTACCTGGGAATTGAGTGTAACTGAATACCAACGTCAGAGTGTGTGTCTAAAGCAGACTAGCAGCTTTTGGATGCTTTTGGCACACGGAAACAAACACATGGGACAACATGTGCTTATGTTCATTTATGCTCCATTATGTTCCGACTTTAGCAATTCAGACTCTGCATCAATTCTCAGACAACTCCCTTTGCCCGGCGATTGGACGAGTACCTCAAAACCACGAGTGAGACATCGCTCGACAAGCCATTGAAGGACCGATCGGCGGTCTCGTCCGACACCATCTCGGTTGATGCAGCTCGGACCCCCGTGATGAGGATAGTGGGAATTTTATCTTTGAAACAGCATCAGCCGCACCTGAGACATTGAGTTGCCCGATTAAAAATGGGACCAAGTGCCTTCCGTAGCTGATAAGGACCATTACACATTGCATGCAGTTTTGGGATGCAAATGAAGTACTCCTACAAACCCTACCATCCTCAATGGCCAGTGCCTGCAATTCAGAAGTCCCAGCGATGGTTTGGTGAGTGTTTGTGACGTTTGGCGAGTGCCTTCCATCCGCGAGGATAGCAAGCTGTTGAGCAACAAGAAGGTGCTTCGTGCTGTCGGGAACCGGGTCGATCGGTCGACAGCTGGGGATCCTCGCGATCCGACGACGTCGAGTACCGCTCCAACCAGGTCATGTGTGGTAGATTCTTTATTTTTTTTAAAGGAGGGGTAGGCCGCTAGAGGTAGGTAGCTACTACTGAGGACGCAGGATAGCTCACGCTTCTTCAAGGAAGCTCCCCCGGCCGCCCTGAAGGCAGCGGGGGAAGCTTCCCCGAAGAAGCGCTTGCACTAATGATATGGTTTCTAGATTTTGAGGGGCACTTAGCGGTTTTGCTAGACTTGAATGTCGGACCATCCCCGTCGGCCTACCCTGGCTATTGAGCCCCTGATAAACAAAAATATTTTTTAGCCAGAATCTAATAGCATTCTATCAACCTTTTGGGGGGGAGGTGTGTGGGGCTGGAGATGTATGTAAACGTTGGGCGCCCCCCATCTACTGTGTGCGCACTATGGTGATGGAATAATATGTTGGGAGGTTGGGGAGCGATGATTTTAGCAAAACCATGCCAACCCATTTTAGCCCCAGGGTATTTGGTAGGTGGGTGTGTATATGTTGTGTCTTGTGTACATGAAATCCACCCCC